GGATGCTTTGGTTAATTGCATCTGGACGGATCCCGTTGCTTATACCACTCTTTGTTTCGGTTGCATAATAGTTGGATGTGTTTCAATTGTTATTATGTGCTCTCTTTAGTTTGGAAACTTGGGGTGTGTCCCTGGGTTCACACCATTTCATTCCTCGCGTGTGCCATGCGTTGGAATCTTGTTTGCCACCTCGGGTGCGCCCAATGTTGGTGTTGTTCTTTACCTTTTCTGCGTAAGGCCCAGTTAAGATTGCATAATTTTCTTACATCCTTTCTGCATGAAATATGGTTTGGTTCGTGTTAACTTGCTTATGTATGAGTTTGCTGTAGCATTTCTTTGCATAACATTTGCATCTAGATGTCTCATTACAGCCCTCATTGCATGATCATAAGTTATGTTCTACATTGTGCGTAGCATTTGCATCTTGCCTCAAAACTACGTTGGTTTGATTCCTTGTAAAGGGATACGTAGGCAGCCTGCGGGCGCAACCAGTCGTTGTTTTGATTGTTTGTTTGTCTGAGTCTTCGACCTTGGCAAAAATGGGCAGTCTCTGGGCTTTGACATTCACTCTCGTCATTTCATGACTTTCAAGTTCTATCAAAGAGGGGCAACTGTAGACACCCCATTTTTGACCGACCTTAAGACTCAGACGTCATCATTTGTGCACGCGATGATTGTGCATGTTTGTGATCGTTTTGAGTGCCCGAAGTTCTCGGCAGAACGCCTTGACTTTGAGCCTCTAAACCCTCGTTGTTTTGTGCTTGTCTTTGGACCAAACCTTAGTGCCTCTGGTCTGGACAAGGGAAGGGCTTTGTCGGCCACTTTTGGCACTTGTCAGCCACTTTTCCCCTTGGTCGGCCACCTGAAGTGGTCGGTCGGCTAGGGGAGGTGGCCGGCCAGCCACCTAAAGTGGCCGACGGCCATTTTTCTTATTTTTCAGATATTTTGTCTGCCAGCTGTGCCAACTGTTGATCACTGATTGCCATCTCCATACACGTCTATGGAGGGATGAATGCAAGCTTTTGGCTTGCATTTCTATGTAATGGGGGGTCTCTCCCCCATTTGAGGGGTTACAAAAATTTGTGAGCAAATTTCCTCTCTCTCTCTATATATATATCTCTAGAATTCTCTCTCTCTCTCCCTATTTTGTGCTTGAAAGTGAGAATTCTCTACACTTTTGTTCTAGGACCCTTAACCAAGCACCTTTATCTTGGAGTTGAGGTTCTTGGAGACCTAGTTTGAGTTCTTAAGAGTGGCTTTAGCTCAGAATTTTTGTTGTTTTAGTATTGTGCTTCAAAGGTATAAAGCTTACCTCATTTAAGCTTAGTTTTAGTTACTTGTTTGGCCACCTTTGCATGCTGTTTTGAGGTTGGTTTTAACCTCTGAAATCTCTATTTTTATGGTTTAAAATGGTGGTTTGAGGTTTGTTTTGGAGTTAGGGGTGATCCACCCCTTTTGTAGCTTTTTTGCTAAAGTGTTGTGCCATTTTTCAAGCTTTTAAAACAACCTTTTTTTGGCATTTTAACCACTGAATTCCAGGGGAATTTCAGTGGTAAAAACTTGGTTTTAAGGTCCAAAATAAGAGGGGGTGGCCTCCCCTCCTTGTGTCTTATGTGCAAGTGTAGATAGCCTAACATGTGAGCATCTTTTAGCTACTAATTTGGCATGATTTAGCTCTGTTTTGAGCTGTCTTGATCATATGAGCCTTGTATTGCATGGTTGTAGTGCAAATGCCTTCACTAGCTTAGTGTTTTGAAGGCCTCTAACATGTTGTGCATGTGTTGATTGCATGTTGTAGCTCAATTTTACATGTGATTTCAGTGCATTTAACTCTGTCACACTCTCACTTATTTCATATTTTCATTGCTTTTGAGAGTTGTGCCTTGAGCCTTGTTTGTAGCCTAACATGTGAGCATGTTTTTCTTGCCTTTTGTTTCCATCTTAGCCTGTTTTAGCCACTGTTTTGGCATGTTTTAACTCTGTCCAATGCTGGTTTGGTCAATTGAGCTTAGTGTTGCATGCTTATAGTGTTGTGCTCTTCACTAGTTTTGATGCTTTTGGCTCTTAGCATGTCTTGCATGTGTTGCTTGCATGATTTATTGTCTCTTTGCATGTCATATCAGCACTAAAAAAGTCTACAACTGTGACGACCACAACCTCCAAACTAGTACATTATATTATTTAAATGAGTTCAATTACATGATTATGTGCTTGATTGCGTGATTCTATAATTTCCTGTTGATATATGGAATGTTTGTTTAAATTGATAACTTAGAGTTGGAAATTGAGAGACTAGATGACATTAGAAGCAGAAATTGACTAGCCCAATAGGCTAATTGGAATATTTAGAATTTTATGGAGACTTTAATTGAAATTTGATTTGAATCAAAATAATTAGAATAAACTGATTGAATTAGTTAGAATTAAGCCTAATTGATTAATCCTAATCACCATTAATTAGGCTAACTTAATCACATCATATATAAGGCTCTAGCTAAGCTTATGAGCTCATTTGGTGTACACAAATCAGCTAAGAATTAAGAGAGAGGAGAGGAGAGTTCAACATTTAGAGAGAGAAAGAGGTGATTTGTAGAGGATTGGAGGGAGACTCAAAGATTGGAGCCATAACAAACTTGAATTCAACACTAGGCATGACAGTCAACATTAATTCATGTAGATATGGCATAAAGACGATGTGTTCCTCTCATTTTTGTGTTCTTTGGCATGTCATTGAAGATAAGGAGCTAAGAATTTCAAGAAATGGAAGGATGAAGTTGAATTGCACACATGCATGCATAATTTGAGTTGAATTCATGGAAATCCTACATGCATGGCACATTTCTACCTTAATTTGGAGAATCCTCCATGTTTTCATGCTTCTCATGCCACTTGATCATGTTTTGAATATGCTTTGAAGAGATATGCATCCAATTTGAACTAAACATTATTTTACAACTTGAAATTGAAGTCAATGGTCGAGAATTGCCATGATTTTGAATAAATGGTTTCAAATGGAAGTGTTTTCATGTTATATAGTGATTCTCCATGTTTTTGTATAAAAAATGCAAGATTTGAGGATTTGAATACCATGCTTGATCTTCAATTGCCGTTCTGGAAATTCCAGAATTCGTGTTGTCCGCTCGAGCGGAGAATTCCGCGCTCGAGCGTGGAACTCGAGCTCCCAGAAGTTTCCAAAATTTTATATGTCCAAAGTGGCACTCGAGCAAAGACCCCTTTTCTTTCAGTCTTCCGCTCGAGCGACAGTCGAGCGGGAATTTCATATATCCAATACTTTTATACACCGCTCGAGCAAGGGATGTCACGCACGAGTCATGCTCGAGCGACCACCCTTGCCCCCCCCCCCCCCTCGAGCGTAGGAAGTTGCGCTCGAGCGGAGACCCTGTTTTCAGCAAAATTTTACCAACTCTTTTAAGTGCATATTTGCATTCTCATGCTATTCCTAGCATTCTTAGGCACCTTTTTGGACTCATATATCATGCAATAAGTTAGAGACGCACAAAAGAGAATTGAATTAAAATAAAATGGAATTTCATTTGTACTTTGTCATGTGCTTCACTAGGTGGACGTTGAGGATAAGTGTCACCGCGAACAACTGTGAGTAATAACGCTATAACGACATGTTCCAGTTATATTTATTTCAGAAAACATTATTGCCATCGAATTGATATATGAATGATTGAGGGTTCATTGAAACTTTAATTTCTTACGAATGAATGAAGTTTCCTTTTGAAAATGTATTCATGGCATAAATATTGACCCCTGCCTGGGGGAGATTAATACCAAGGCATATTGACCCTTGCCTAGGAGAGATTAATACCAGGGCATATTGACCCTTTCCTGGGGGAGATTAATACCTGGGCCTATTGACACTTGCCTGGGGGAGATTAATACCATGGCCCATTGACCCTTGCCCAGGGGAGATTAATACCGTGCCCCATTGGATAATTGTATATGATATTTTGATTGACCTTCGAGGTTCTATTGCCATAGCAACATTATCATTCTACCGAATGTAATGCACGATAGTTTGAATCGATAATGATGTTAAAATTTGTTATTCGTATTATTGTCGAACTTCATTCGTATAACCTCTTTATTTTGTTATTACTCAGTGGGCTCTAGCTCACTATTTATTTATGTATGTAATTGTAGGTGGGCGTACCGAACATCAGAGTTAGATAGCCTCAGGTCCACCCCGGGTCAGCCTTTTGTAGAACTCCGAGTCAAGTACTCAGGCTCGAGAGGAGCCATGCTTGTCTAACCCCTTTTTGTGAAGTTGATGGCTTTATATTTGTGTATATACTTGGGGTTATGTTTTGTAAAACATGAATTGCACTTATACTATCTGGCTTGTACCCATGTTGGTTGTATATTTTGAATCATACCTTGCTTATTATATTTGCTCTCTTCATAATTGCACAACTCAATGGATGAATACTATAACATTTTCGACTTCCGTTAAGCCCTGGACCTTTACTCATTTGTATGGAGGCCGTAGGTAATCCATGATTATTGGTCGGTCATGATGCTAAACCTATAGGGGCAGGTTTGGGTTATGATAAAGTGGTATCAGAGCACGAGTTATGTCTTACTCACTTTTCCATTGAGCTATTGAGGGTCTAGAAGAAACTTCAGGAATGTATTCATGTGCATTGATATGTTAAGTAAGATAACTTGTGATTATATATGCAATTGCGTACATGACTCTGTGTGTATATGTGTATCATGCTTGTTATAATACGAAGCTTCATATAGAAAATGGTGAGAACCAGAGGTGATGAAATAGAGGAGGCAACCTCCTCAAGACTGTATAGAATGGAACGAATGATGAAGACATGGCTGAAGCCATAAGACAACAACAGTAATGGCAGCAATAACAACAACAACCACCTCTCCCACCTCAAATGCATGCACCACCTCCAGCTCCAGGGTGTTAGCCAGAGACCTGTACTGTTGCCTTGACTAGAGAATTTAAAAAGATGAAGCCACCAGTGTTTCATGGTGGAATTGAACCATTGAAGGTAGAAGCTTGGGTATTGGGAATTGAGAAATTGTTTGAAGTGTTCCCGTGTACCGAAGCCCAGAGGGTCCAGTTAGCTACATTCACATTGGAAGATGACGCAAGGTGTTGGTGGATGTTGGTCCGAAACGATAACAAGGATGTTACTTGGACTCATTTTCTGGAAATCTTCTATGAAAAATATTTTCAACAATGTGTGCGGGATAGAAAAGTGGTTGAATTTATGGAACTAAAGCAGGGAAGCAAATCAATTGCTGAGTATGAGGCTCAGTTCACAGAATTAGCCCATTTTGCGCCCCACATGGTGGATGCGGATTACAAGAAGGCTAGACAGTTTGAGGGAGGTTTGCGTGACCCAATTCTAGATAAAATTAATGTACTTAAATTGCCAACGTATGTGGATGTACTTGGCAGGGCACTAATAGCAGAAAGGAATGTGACTAACCGTAAGCAGAACTTTGAATGGAAGGGCAGAAAACAGAATTTTAACAAGGGGACCACATCAATGAGTAAGAAGTTTAAGCCGGGGAGTTCTGGTAATACCGGTTCAAGCCAAAGTGTTAACTCAACACCAGCTTGTACTACATGCGGAAAGGAACATGGAGGTGTCTGCTATCGCATGATGGGGGCTTGTTACCAATGTGGAAAGATAGGACATATGGCAAAGGATTGCACACAATCATGACTGAATGGCAACCGAGGAGCCACAAGCTCAATTGGATCCGCACCCATGACGAAACCGGCCATAACACCATCTACCACAAGGAGTGAACAAAGGCGAGGAAGGGTTTTTGCACTGGTCCCGGGGGATACTCAAAATACTGAGGCAATGGTGTCAGGTACAATCTCGATTTGTGGTAAACCTGCTTATACTTTAATTGATTCCAGGTCTATGCATTCATTCATTTCTATGGCTTTTGCTGAAACTTGGAATAGACCTATGGAAACATTGAATTATACACTATGTCTTGCATCACCTACGGTGGGATCTATGTTATGTTCAACTGTATTTATTGCATGTGAATTATTTCTCGGGAATGCTACTTTGTATGCTGATTTAATACCTCTAGACATGGGACATTTTGATGTTATTATGGGTATGGATTGGCTAACTAAATATTATGCAACTATTGATTGTGCCTCGAAACGAGTAATGTTCCAACCTCCCGGGCAAGATGAATTCTATTTTGAGGGGAAAAAGGGTAGTCTCACCACCATACCTTATATCTGCCATGAAAGCTCGAAAACTAATGAATAAAGGTTGTCAAGGGTATTTGTGTAGTGTGATAACCGAACCCACGGCAGATATTACTTTAGACAAAAAAACCAGTGGTGAGGGATTTTCCTGACGTGTTTCCGGACGAATTACCTGGTCAACATGTTGATAGAGAAATCGAATTCACAATTGATGTAATACCGGGAACTCGACCAATTTCTAAAACTCCTTATTGCATGTCTACTACTGAAATGAAAGAATTGAAAGTTCAGTTGCAGGAATTGCTTGATAAAGGATTTATCAGACCAAGTACATCCCCATGGGGCGCACCAGTACTTTTTGTTAAAAAGAAAGATGGCACTCTCCGACTATGCATTGTTTACCGAGAGCTCAACAAGGTAACAGTGAAAAATAAATACCCTTTGCCGCGTATTGACGACCTGTTTGACCAATTGCAGGGGGCATAGATATTTTCAAAAATTGATTTAAGATCGAGATATCATTAATTGAAGGTTAAAGCTGAGGATGTTGAAAAGACTGCCTTCCGAACCAGGTATGGACATTATGAGTTTTTAGTCATGCCATTTAGAGTTACAAATGCGCCTGCAGCATTTATGGATTTACTGAATAGAATATTCAAATCTTTCCTAGATGACTTTGTTGTGGTATTCATTGATGACATCTTGATCTATTCGACAAGCAAAATGGAGCATGAACGACATTTGAAACTGACTCTTCAAACACTTAGAGAAAAACAGTTGTATGGGAAATTTAAAAAGTGTGAATTTTGGCTTGATGAAATTGCATTTTTGGGGCACATTATTAATAAGGATGGTATATCTATGGATCCTCATAAAATTGAAGCTATTATTAACTACCCCACTCCAACTAATGTATCCGGAGTTCGTAGTTTTATGGGATTGGCAGGGTACTACCAAAGATTCGGTAAAGAGTTCTAAAAAATTGTTGTGCCATTGACTTAGTTGACTCGAAAACGGGAACTATTTGAGTGGACGGATCAAAGAGAAATGGCTTTTCAAGAGTTGAAGACAAGACTGACTACAGCCGTAATCCTCACTATTCCCTCAGGTACCGAAAATTTTGTGATTTTTAGTGATGCATCCTATAAGGGCTTGGGTTGTGTTTTAATGCAGAATGGCAAGGTTATTGCGTATGCCTCTCGACAATTGAGACCACATGAAAAGAATTACCCTACACATGACTTGGAACTTGCTGCAGTTGTCTTTGCATTAAAGATATGGCGACACTATTTTCATGGGGTCAAATGTGAAGTATATACAGATCATAAGAGTCTGAAATACTTTTTCACACAGAAGGAGTTGAACATGCATCAAAGGCGATGGCTTGAGTTAATCAAAGATTATGACCTACAAATTCATTACCATCCGAGCAAAGCTAATACTGTAGCAGATGCACTTGGTAGAAAGAATGTGGGGAATCTTGCTTGTTTACTCACAGATCAAGGAGTGCTGTTACTGGAGTTTGAAAATTTTGAAATTGAAGTGGTGCCTTTTGAACAGAATGGCTTAATAGCCGCAATGTTTGCCCAACCTGCTATTATTGAAAAAATTAAACAGAAACAGATGGATGATGAGCTTTTGAAGAAGATTTGTGATGAACTTGATAGCAAGCCTAAACCGGGTTCGTAATTGAAGACTCTGTGTTGAAATAACAACGGAGATTGTGTGTTCCAAATGATGTGGATTTAAAAAGGAAAATTTTGGAAGAAGCTCACAAGTCCATGTTTACTATGCATCCAGGAAACACCAAAATGTACCAAGACTTGAAGTTACTGTATTGGTGGCCCAACTTGAAAAGAGAGATTGCCGACTTCAACTCTAAATGCTTACAATGCCAGCAGGTAAAAGCAGAACATCAGAAACCAGCAGGTTTGCTTCAGTCTCTTCCTATTCCGGAATGGAAATGGGAACATATCACCATGAATTTTGTTGTTGGCCTACCTCAGACTCCTAGGGGTATGGACTCTATTTGGGTTATAGTCGATAGATTGACTAAATCTGCTCACTTTCTTGCTGTAAAGACTTCATTTACTGCTTATAGACATGCTACTATCTACATTGATGAGATTATTCGACTGCATGGGCTTCCAGTGTCTATCGTATCAGATAGAGATCCTAAATTCGTTTCTAGATTTTGGCAGAGTTTGCCGAAGGCAATGGGAACAGAATTGAGATTTAGTATAGCGTTTCATCCACAAACCGATGGGCAAACCGAGAGAACTATTCAGACCTTAGAGGACATGCTTCGTATGTGTGTATTGGATTTCCAGGGGAGTTGGGAAACTCATTTTCCACTGGTCGAATTTGCTTATAATAACAGTTTTCACGCGAGTATCGGTATGGCACCATATGAGGTGCTATATAGCAGAAAGTGTAGATCGCCAATCTGTTGGACAGAGGTTGGTGATAGAGCTATTTATGGCACTGAACTGGTGCAGGAAACAACCGTGAAGATCAAAATCATCCAGCAAAGGCTCAAAACTACACAAAGTTGACAGAAAAGTTACGCAGATCAGCAAAGAATGGACTTGGAGTACGAGGTGGGAGATCATGTATTCATGAAGGTGACCCCAATGAAGGGGCATATGAGATTTGGTAAAAAGGGAAAATTGACTCCTCGCTACATTGGACCGTTTCAGATTCTTGAGAGGTTGGGTCCTGTAGCTTATCGTATTGCCTTGCCACCAGGAATGGAACAAGTGCATAACATTTTTCATGTATCCATGCTTCGGGGATATCTCTGAGATCCATTCCATGGGATCGATTACCACCGGATTGCTCTAGATAAGGATATGATGTATGAAGAATGGCCCGTGCAAATCATTGATCGGCAAGTAAAGCAACTGAGAAACAAAACTATCCCTATGATGAAGGTTGAGTGGAAAGAACATTACGGGAAGGATGACACTTGGGAGAAACAGGAAGAGATGCGGCAACAATATCCACATTTGTTTCCGTCAGAAGGTAACCTTAGTTTAGAGGACCAAAATTTCTAAGGGGGAGAGACTGTGACGATCCCGACCTCCAAGCTAGTACATTATATTATTTAAATGAGTTTAATTACATGATTATGTGATTGATTGTTTGATTACATGTTTGATTCTATAATTTCCTATTGATATATGGAATGTCTGTTTAAATTGATAACTTAGAGTCAGAAATTGAGAGCCTAGATGACTTCAGAAGCAGAAATTGACTAGCCCAATAGGCTAATTGGAATATTTAGAATTTTATGGAGACTTCAATTGAAATTTCATTTGGATCAAAATAATTAGAATAAACTGATTGAATTAGTTAGAATTAAGCCTAATTGATTAATCCTAATCACCATTAATTAGGCTAACTTAATCACATCATATATAAGGCTCTAGCTAAGCTTATGAGCTCATTTGGTGTACACAAATCAGCTAAGAATTAAGAGAGAGAAGAGGAGAGTTCAACATTTAGAGAGAGAAAGAGGTGATTTGTAGAGGATTGGAGGGAGACTCAAAGATTGGAGCCATAACATACTTGAATTCAACACTAGGTATGACACTCAACATTGATTCATGTAGATATGGCATAAAGAAGATGAGTTCCTCTCATTTTTGTGTTCTTTGGCATGTCATTGAAGATAAGGAGCTAAGAATTTTAAGAAATGGAAGAATGAAGTTGAATTGCACACATGCATGCATAATTTGAGTTGAATTCATGGAAATCCTACATGCATGGCACATTTCTACCTTAATTTGGAGAATCCTCCATGTTTTCATGCTTCTCATACCCCTTGATCATGTTTTGAATTTGTTTTGAAGAGATATGGATCCAATTTGAACTAAACAATATTTTACAACTTGAAATTGAAGTTAATGGTCGAGAATTGCCATGATTTTGAATAAATGGTTTCAAATGTAAGTGTTTTCATGTTATATAGTGATTCTCCGTGTTTTTGTATCAAAAATATAAGATTTGAGGCTTTGAATACCATGCTTGATCTTCAATTTCCGTTCTAGAAATTCCAGAATTCGCGTTGTCCGCTCGAGCAGAGAATTCCACACTTGAGCGTGGAATTCGAGCTCCCAGAAGTTTTCAAAATTTTACAGTCTGCTCGAGCAACTAAAGTGGTGCTCGAGCGAGGACCCCTTTTCTTTCAGTCTTCCGCTCGAGCGACAATCGAGTGGGAATTTCATATATCCAGTACTTTTACAAACTCGAGCGAGAGATGTCACGCTCGAGCAACCACCTTGTTTTTGAACCCCCGCTCACGCGTAGGAAGTTGCGCTTGAGCAGAGACCTTGTTTTCAGAAAAATTTTACCAACTCTTTTAAGTGCATACTTGCATTCTCATGCCATTCCGACCATTCTTAGGCACCTTTTTCGACTCATATATCATACAATAAGTTAGAGACGCACAAAAGAGAATTGAATTAAAATAAAATAGAATTTCAT